CCCCCCCCCCCATGACGAAAGTGCGTTGTGACGAAAGTTCCTTTTACCGTCGATTTTATGATCATTTAATGTTTCATACATCGTGACCATGTTACTAGCACCGTCGCTCGTAATGCATAGAAGCTTATTGTACAAATTTAAATTTATTAATTTTTCTTTGATGATTTTAGCAATGTGGACACCATGGTGCCGGTTATAAAATACATCGAATGATAAAATTGCTGATTTAGAATTAAATTCGTAAGTAATATAATGACCTGTTATACATAAATACGATCTTTGTGAACGGTCGATCCAAAAATCGCAACTGATGGAAATCTTATTTACTAGAAGCATTTCTTGTTGTAAACGACGTTGATAGATACCTTTGAGACGTTTGAGTTATCTTGCAACGATGATTCGATGAGGTGGTACGTAACCTGAAAAGTAGAAGTAAAAAGGTCAAGTTATGTCGAGAAAGTGTTTGCTTCCGTACAGTCAAGCAAAATATGAGAAAAAGGATTTAACAATATGCACTTTGCTAGAACAACAAAATGCAATCAAGAACCTGTGATTTTTCTTTGATTACAGAAAGGGAAAACAGCTCGCTCAACGACTGCCAAGAAACATAAGCCACAGAAGTTTCATAGAATTTCTTAACTCCTCAGAACATTCCTAGAACATCGTATGCTTCAAAGACTTTATCATACTTGGGACATATAGAGCATGGTATTTTTCTCTTCAGTTATAATATAGCATGTGACCGTTCATAATGAACAGCTGTAGCTTGAATCAGTTAAAAAAACCTTTTCCGCTCTCCAATGCTGTACAGTTTATTCGCAATCAGATGGGGAAACGAAAGAAAACAAAATAACTCAATCTAAAGCCTTCAATACATCACATAATTGATAGATAAAATTCAAAAAGTGATAAATCCATTATTGCTGAATAATAAAATACATCAGCTGTTATGTATCCGATGATGATATCAGTACGGAAGCTACTTTTTTTCCACATTTGCCCTACAAAAACATTTCTAATTAACTAAGTCTTTCAAGTTTTCAACAGCCACATATATGGAAGACGTTGGACACTTTCTGTCACATTTTCCGAAACAAAACTTTTTGCGAAACCAGTAATACTATGACAAACAATTATGCTTGTTTTTGTGAAGCTTCTGGATCGAATTAATAATAACTGCCGATCGGTTATTTTTCTTCGAAGCATATACTCGTCAGAAAATCGTCTGCTTGTACCGTTTACATGAGCGTGATCTTTTCTTCAGAAATTGTGCGAATACTCGAAGATGAAAATGATCGATCGGCAATCAGGGCTAATTTATTTAGTATTATTGACTTAAACTGGACTTCTAATTGTAACTTTTGCTGATGTAAAATAGATTCCAGCGGAAGTCGGATGAAAAATAATGAGCTCTAATGTCCAGTTTGATCGTTACTTTCAACTTCGTCTTTGTTCTGCTCGTCATCCTCATCTCGTTTTGAGATCTTTAGCGTACTGTGAGCAAACTAACTTGCACGCGCAAGGATCTACTGAGCATATTCCGGGTTCTCAATCGGATATAAATAGTATAATTTCTTCTAGACTATTGATCTCTTATAATTTGAGTACAAGCTCAATGCTGCGACGATCAATTATGTGTATTCTTATATATGACACAACTGATAGCCAAAAAATGTATCATTTAAACTACATCCATGTAGAGGTCACTTAGATAATTCAACAGAATTGAAACTTATTAGATTTTTAGCTAGATAAACGTAGAATTATGACATATTGAATGAGATAATTACCAGATATAGCCTTTTTTAAAAAGTTTAGCATTCCGGGACGATGAAAATCCTTGAACGATCTTCCATCTTGAATAATTCAATTAATAACTAAATCGTGCAGTTCTTTTTTTAAAGAATTGGATATTTTTGGTTTTTCTGTTGATAAAGCAGGTTCGAATGCCGGAAGTTTATGAACTTGTGCTAGATGTTTTCTCAAACCGGTTGTTGACCAATTTGGACAGATAGAAAACTCTATTTAACATTTATAAATTTCTCGTCACCTACTGGAATCCAAAGAAAAAGAATATACGCACAACACAAAATTACACTTCTGAATTACGTTTAGCAAACCCAAGAAAAATCGTTTGTTGGAGAACTGTATGTAAAATAGGTTTCAGCCGCTGCATTGTTTACAGATCTCATACGTTGTAAAAAAAACAACACTCTCACGAACTGCCTATGTAATACAACAAAGTATACGAGTCTAGGAGTTAATGTATGCCCATACTTACGTCACCGTGATCGATTATCCATTCTAGTATATTAGCCAAATTTGATGCAACGTATGCTACAGTGGCTTCCAAAATATAAAATTAGGACTGTAATGCTAATAAAAAATGTAAAATTTTCATTATCAATAACAGCTCACACCTTTTTTCTTTTTCCTCTTCGCAATTTGAATGATTGTCATTTTGACCATCAAAATCAGCTGTTATTTCATCACCTGAAACAAATTCCTCGTTGTTTACTATCATACAGTCATCTCTGCGACCATCCATATTGCGATCCTCAACATTGTCAACCGCTTGAAATTTTACATATGTTTTGTGACGTTTAGAGATATGACATGAAAATGAACGGGTATTTTTTAATGTAACCTTGCAAAAACGGACAAGATATAATAACATTTTTCGTTGTTCTACGTGTCTTTGGGAAATGATCAACATAACGTTTGAGTTGAAATGTTCGAAATGAACAGGCACTACAACTCAAATTTTGCGCTACTAGTTCTAGTCTGCGGACATGCATACAAACGTAGAAGCATTTTAACCCTCTCCTTTACCCTTTCCTTTACAGTCAACGGGATATCATTGAAAGGTGCTATGATTTTTGCGAATCCTAGAGCAACATTTTACTATCAAAACTAGTTTTCTAGAGATTCACTTTTCAGAAAACGGGTCAACAAAAGCCTATGGCAAACTCTGATGCTCATATTTGGAATCAGCGTCTTCAGCTACATATAGTCCGCTCCGGCTTTTTTTGACTTATCTATAGAATGCCTGGCAGCCATTTTTCCGTATTTTTTCTTTTGTGCTTTAGAAAAGGAGAGGAAAACGTTAGTGAATATACTAATTCATCCAGCGTAGTGTGCTGCGAGCACACGTTTTTTTTTATACTGCATCAGGTATAGACTGCTTTACACTCGACAAACTTTGAAACCTATTTCAATCAACGGAGCAGAAAGTTATGATCGAGAAAATATCCTTTGTGAATTTTTCAGAAAAACTGGGTGGTCTCTGGAGTGAGACGGACATTTCTGTTATAACCGCAGATCCACCCTCTCTCTCTCTAAGAGCTCGTGCTTTTGACAAATATTCTATTATCTGGTACCACAAAAGTGACATGTATAACAAACATTTAAAATGCATACAAGGAAAGAACTGTTTTTTCTAAAAAAAATAGCCTGTTCTAACGCATTTTACTATAAGAAGCTAAATGTTTAACAAAAATAATCAATCTAAAATAATGTGAGTTTCTATCAATATTCCAAGCTTTATAGAATGGTGTATTTTATCTTTGTTCAACCCCCTTTGATCTAGAAGAAGCACGACCTGAAACTCACTTTAGCCACAACCGGGTTTTTTATTAGCTTTGAGCATGGCAATGTGGTACTGATCAGTGACGCACTTTAATACAAAATTTAGTATAAACAACCATAATAAAAACTTAATTAAATTGATTAAGTCAATTCAGTGCGGCACTTTTTGGACAGATATATATCGGCAGGGGTGCCAATTTGCATTAGTTCGGCACTTGCTTGGCAAGGGTGCGTACCGGCGCCAGCCAGTGGCAGTGGTCGATGGCATGGCATGCGCACTGAATGAAGTTTTTTTTATAGGGATACCTTTCAATAGCTGTATTTCAAGTTGAATCAACTATATGAACACAATCACAAAGACATTTTTACTTAAGCACACAAAAGAAAAAATGTTTATTGTATTCTCTTTTATTTGTTTTTATGATGAATCAATCACTGTTCATGGTGACAAAAAAACATGGTTAACTACTTAACGAACACTGTATTTAGAAAGAAAAACTAGAAAGATATAATAAAAGTAATAAATCTGGCAGAGTAGAGCAAGATCAACAAAACAAATAGAAAACAGATAAATTTCATTCCATTTTTTGTTTGGATGAAGTGAAAGAAACGTAAAATGCGAATGTTATTGAAATATAGTTGATCAGTGTTTGTAGAAAGTCTTGACTCGAGACATCTGTTCTAAGTTATTTTGTTAACTTTGTTATATAAATTTATAGAATGATCAACACACTGTTAACATGTTTTTTTTGAGATGATAATCTGAGGTCTTTCTGTTCAAGACCTTAATAACGTTTAATGCCTCTACTTTCATTTAATCTTTTGTTTGCTCTCATTCATCTATATAAGGAACACCGAAAATATGAGTATTTTTACGGTTATTTTTTCCACACTCTGCTACCTTTTTAGAGGGTGTACATGCAGATCAAGGTGATCTTAGTAAGGGTATTCTAAAATCTTACGAGTAAACCTATCCAAGTGATACGTTCTGATTCTACTCTTATTCTAATCTGCCAGATTTATTACTTTTATTATATCTTTCTAGTTTTTCTTTCTAAATACAGTGCTCGTTAAGTAGTTAACCATGTTTTTTTTTGTCACTACGAACAGTGATTGATTCATCGTAAAAACAAATAAAAGAGAACACAACAAACATTCTTTCTTTTGTGTGCTTAAATAAAGATGTCTTTGTGATTGTGTTCAAATAGTTCGATTCAACTTGAGATACATCTGTTGAAAGGTATGTTCATAGCTCGAAAAGAATTTACACCTACTTAGGCTGGCTGTATCAATATGATCATCTGAAGAGAATACCTATCGGTATTTCTTTCAATAGCGTTGGTTGCAAATTGCTTGAAAACTATAAATTAGCCTGTCCCCATGATGAATATTATTTCTATGCCACCCTAGTAAAAGTCGTATACACTTCTTTAAGGTACTAGTTTTAATCACGAAGAAAAATTATATCGGACCTGTGAGTATGAGATTGGTCTGAGAGGTGGCCGATTTTGGCACTTATCGACTCCCATCCTTTTTTTCTTTAATAATGTCATCCAGGCCAAAATTTAGATCCTGTTTGTAAGATTTTATAAACAGGACGCACGGTGCGGTGGATGGAGTTTCACTTCCAGCTCTGGAGGTTTACGTTAATAAGCTGTTCATATTTCATATAAAATTGTATACACTGGAGGAGTTTGGTAAAATACTGTCTATAACAACTTCTTCTGTCTGTTCTGTAAACAATTACGAATAATAAAAAGTCATTGACACAACAAATATTAGGCATATTTGAGAAAGTATCAGGAAAAATGAGTCTTCGGAAAAACAACATGAACAGTTTAATAATAACACAATGATTAGTGGCTTAGTTGTCAAACCTATGTTACGTTTGGCTGCTTCTTCTACTACTATGCCAGAGCCTACGTGATCGTTGTCGGCAATACAATCGGCACCGTCAAGGATTAATCTTGAAGCTATTACATTAATGTGGTATGATCCAAACATCGATAAAACTGAAGATACGAAAAACACTATGAAAGACCTACGTGAAATAAATGACTATATTGCTCTTCATACTGATAAACAAAAATGTATTGATTATATAGAATCGATTAGAAATGAAAAAGTATTTCTTGTTACGTCTGAACGATGTGCATCCGATATTCTTCAGCAAATTAATTCACTTAGACAAGTTAATTCAGTTTTTATTTTCTGTTTAAAACCCGACAAGTATAAACAATTACTTATAGAATACTCGAAAGTTGTTGAAATATTAAATGAACGTCGTTAATTAATTGACTCTATCAAAGAAAATGTTGTTCTAATTGAAAAACAATTCGAAACATTTAATTTCTACAATCAACATCAAGAAAAAGCTACGAGAGATTTATTAAAAAAATCAATTGATTTTTTATGGTTTCAAATGTTTAAAGATATAATTTTGAGAATGCCACGTAACAGTCCTGCTAAACAACAACTAATTTAATTCTGTCGCCTATACTATTGTGAAAATAAAAAGAAATTTAAGAACTGAAGACATTGAACAGTTATATACATTTCGATTTTTTATCGCTGGTTTGTCATTAAGTTTAGCCAAAGAATATCAACAAATTAAAGAGCAAGAGGATGTAGTGATGCTCTACCGTGGAAAATTAGAGCAAGAAGAATTCCTAATTCTGAATGAAAATGAAGGAAATTTAATTTCAACAAACGGTTTTCTTTCGACTAGTCATTAAGATATTCCACAACCTTTTGCTAGAAATACAACTAAACGAACAAATGCTGTTTCCGTTCACTGTGAAATTGAGTGTGACCTACATGAAGTAAAATAGATTGTTTTTGCTGATATTGTAAAATTTAGTGCTTATCCGTCCCAACAAGAAGTTCTATTTGGTCTTGAAGCTACCTTTAAAATCCTATCTGTCATTAAAGATCCAGAAATCAATCTATGGATAATTAAAATAAAAGCAACGGATGAAGAAGCAACTGCAGTTAAAGATTATATTGATTTGAATAGAAAAGATGAAGAAGAGATTAGTATTCAAGTTATGTTTGGCGTATTACTGGGACAGACGGATACGCATGATGAATCACTGAAATATTATCAAAGTTTGTTAAATGATTCAGACAGGGAAGATATAGCACGAATTTATAATTGCATTGGAACAGCTTACCCTCCGTCCCGTGATTTGAGGTACGTATATCTGACGACCTTCAATGACTATGAATCAAAGATAACGCTCGTACCTCCGATCACGCTGCTTCTCTATTGGATAATCCTCAGTAATAGTACGTGTTTGGACAGACAGACACACTGGCGCACAGTGGGCATTTTTTGCTAGAGCAGGCGGACTTTAGCTTTATGAGTGAACTAAAATTTCATGAACCATTTTTTTATAGGTTTTTCATGATCCTCTTTCTAATGCCATGAGAGTTGGGTTTTGA